ACTCTTTGCGACCCCACAGACTGCAGCACTCGAGGCTTCCCTGTCCTCTACCATCTCCCAGGGTTTGCTCAAACTCATGTCCATTGAGTCTATGCCATACATCCATCTCATCCTCTGTCGTCCCCTTCTCCTCCTGCCCTCAATCTTTCCCAGCATCAGGGTCTTTTCCAATGAGTTGGCTTTTCACATCAGGTGGCCAAAGTATTAGAGCTTCAGCTTCAGCATCAGTCCTTCCAGGGAATATTCAGGACTGATTTCCTTCAGGATGGACTGGTTTGATCTCCTTGCAGTCCAAGGGACTCTCAAGGGTCTTCTCCAGCACAGTAGCTTGAAAGTATCAATTCTTCGGTGCTCAGCCTTCTTTATGATCCAACTCTCACATCCATACATGATTACTGAAAAAACCATAGCTTTGACTAGATGGACCTTTGTCGGCAAAGTGATGGGTCTACTTTTTAATACGCTGTCTAGGTTTCTCATAGCTGGAGAAGGGAATGGCAAACCACTGCAGCATTCTTGCCTTGAGAACCTCATGAACAGTATGAAAAGGTTACCTTGATGAGCAAGTTGTTTATCCTCCTTGAGTCTCAGTTCACTGACCCTTCCTGCAAATATTGGCCAAAAAGTTCGTTTAGGTTTTATTACAGGAAAACCACTTTTTGGCCAACCAAATATTGACTGAGCACCTACAGAGTAGAACCCAGCAGGGGCAGACAGATAATGGACAACACCCTTAATAAGTATTCACACTGTAAATTGTGTTAAGAGGCAACTCTTAACACAATGCAAGGTGTTACCTTAAGGTGGATTGGAGTGGGGGCGGGCTCTGCAGGAGGCTGTGTGGCCTTGAGAGGGTGACAGTTGAGTAAAGATCAGAAGGAGCTGACATGTGCGCTCCAGGCAGGGGACACAGCTGCCATCCCACGGTGGGGGCAGAGCTGACAGGGGGAAGCAGAGAGAGGAGGCCAGGATAGCTGAGGCACCCACTCTGGGGGTGAGGGCTGCAGAGTACAGGGCAGAAGTGAAATAGCATGGTAGATGGTGATCAGTGCTAAGGAGGAAATTGGCTTTATCAGTGAAAAGACAATAATCTTGGACACCGAGGGCTGCCTGCTAAGAGCCAGGCCCAGGGTCAGGTCCAGGGAGGCGTGTGGCTCTTAAGCATCCCGCAGTTCAGGCTGAGCTCTTGCATTTGTGTCTGATTTGTCTCCAAGACCCAGGACAGAGTCCTACCCCTTGAGTCCCATCTGTCTGGAATCTGTAGAGCTGAAACCTTGAAACTCAGACTGGGTCTTGAACCCACAGTCTTTTAACCAAGATCACACACCTGGTCTCAGGACTTAATGAAGCTCAGGTTCTCCATGTCTCATCACAGAAAAAATTCAATGAGAGACAAAGGGATAGGTAAGAAGTGGATTTACTTAGAGAGAAACACGCTCCAAGGACAGAGTGTGGGCCATCTCAGAGGGCGAGAGCTGTGGCAGGGTACCAGCTTGTCAGTTTTTATAGAGCTGGGTAATTTCATAGGCTAATGAGTGGGAGGAGTATTTCAGCTATTTTGGGGAAGGGGTGGGGATTTCCAGGAATTGGGCCACTGCCCACTTTCTGACCTTTAAAGGTGAGGCTCAAGGTCTAGTGGAAGTCCACTCGGCCACCATCTTGGACCTATTTGGTTCTAAATCAGTTATGTTGTGTCCTCAGGCTGTGTCATTCTTTTAAAGTCACCCCCTGCCCCCTTCCCTCCTTTTTCAGAGGTGGTCAGCACATATTACAGACAGGCTCCAGGTTGGTGCAGGATTTCTGGTCAGCCAGAAGGAACAGGGGAGTCCGGAGGGCCCCCAGTTCTCTCCCCAGAGGATCTCAGATGTTGGGCTTTGCCTGTGCTTTTGTGCTTCCCCAGAAAGGCTTTCTAGTTCCTAACATGATCAGGTGAAGGGAACACAGGCACAATGTGGTGAGTAGCCTAAATGGATTCCACTTAAAAGTTCAGAGATTGTGAACTTCCTACTTTTACGAAATATTCTTTTCTGAACTCATGGCAACCGTCAATGGTCATTGTTTAAAGACTCAACTTGGCAAAACAAAATCTTGGACGCCCTATATTTGCACTTCCCCCCATTTTTTTTTTAATGTTTCTGCTTTACCCCAGAGGCTGGGCACCCCTGGCTGATTTCTATCTCCGCCAGACAGATACGGCATCTGTGACCCCGGGAGGTGCCTGGTTGGCACAGGGTCACGGACAAGACTTAATTGTCCTGCTTTTGGTCAGAGAATGGGGGTGAGGGCAGCAGGGGAGAAGAGCTCGAGCTATGAGAGGAAGCCAAGGGGAAGGGATGGACAGACAGAGCCAGCCGACAGGAGGGCAGTCTCCCAGGCCGCAGGGGAAGGTTCCAGCTCGGCGGAGCCAAATGCAGGCAAGGCTGTGCATGTGCATGGTAATGAGGCTCCAAGTGAGGCTACGGCTGAGCCGGCTGGACCCCATGGGCCCTGGGGCTGCCCTCCACCTACTCAGCTGCTGGAGCCACGGGCCCTGGGGTCCGATAGACATGGGTTCCAAACCAACCCTGAGCTTCTGCCTTGCCTGGGGACCTTGGACGTGTAATATATGCTGACCTCCTTGGTCCTATTCTGATCTGCAAACTCAAGTAATGGTGGCTGTGAGAGCTGAATGGGATCGCATAGTGCCTGCCAAAAGCAAAGGGGCAATCAGAGGCCCCCTCACCCAGGGAGAGAAGCCACATTGGCTGGGGGGTGGGGGTGCCTCCTACTCTGTCAAAGGGTTCTGAGTTAGTGGGGAGGAACTTGAACCCTCGAAGGGATCAGAGGCTGCCCCACACAGAGTTGTACCTGTTGTTTACTGAGCAAGGATGTTTGAGCCTGATGCTAACTGCCCACAGAGGGTTGTCTCCACTGAGGGGTAGGTGCCTGAGGAGGTAGGTACCTGTGTGCCCATTTTGCAGCTAGTAGGAGGAGGCTGAGATCCAAACGCAGAGAGCTTTATCCTAACTAAGGTGCTTGTCATTCTCCCACTCTACATTCCATTTACAAAGACTGACTGGAGAGGTAGTGAGTTCCCTGTCCTAGGAGATGTGTAAGTATAGACTTGGTCATAATTTAGTGGGAGATGACGGCAGGAATTATAAAAAACAGGTTGTGTGATTGACCCAGATAATTTTTTTTTCATTTAAAAGATCACTTATTGCACTACAAGTATATATTTATATGGGATGTTCCACAATTTAGAATTAGAATTTTGTAAACTCCTCCAAATTAACTTGTAAGATAGTATTTTTCAACAGTAGTTGGCCTAGTCACAACAGGAAAACCGTTCAAGAGAATGATAGAAACCCAAGTTCAGTATCATGATTACCTCTGGGAAGGGAGAGAAATTGGATTAGGCAAGAGCAGAGGGGAGCTTCAAACTGTATATTAGTTAGACCTAGATAATATTTAACATTTTACTTTATTTTAATGTTTTTGGCCACACTGCATGGCACGTGTTCGAACAGGGATGGAACCCGAGCCCTCTGCACTGGACGCGAGGAGTCTTAACCACTGGACTGCCGGGGAAGTCCTCTAACATCATGTTAAACGGGGACTTCCTGTAATTTTACGATAAGGACCTTGTCTTACCCTCCTCGGTCTCACCTGCTCCCAGGATACCTAGACCAGAGCAGTGTACACTGCTCAAAAACTGCTGAAGTAATGAAAGGATGGAGCCACAGCCATGTCCACGTGGCTCAGTGAGAAAAGCAAGGTCCAGGGAAGTAGAGGGGAAACTGCAAACTCTGGTGCTGTGATGGGAGCACACCCTCTGCTTCCTCATCTGAATGCAGGTTCTAGGGCCACTTGAAGATGAGCAACGAGGGAGGTAAGGCACAAGAGACCTGAGTTCGAACCTCGGGTCAGGAAGATCCCCTGGAGAAGGCAATGGCAACCCACTCCAGTATTCTTCTCTGGAGAATCTCATGGACAGAGGAGCCTGGCAGGCTACAGTCCATGGGGCCGTAAAGAGTCGAACATGACTGGACAATTAACACTTCCAGTTTCAAGTAAGACACCTGCCACTGTGACCAGCCTAGCTGGTGCTAATTGTTAGTTTTTGTTTTAAAGTCGGATGAATACCTGCTCACTGCCCATTTTTAAGTGTTGGGGTTAAAGATGCATGCGCTAAGTCAGACAGAACTGAGCTGAAGCTCTGGTTCTGTGAGCCTCAGTTTCCACATCTGTAAAATGGGAATAGTAATTATAGCTACCTCCTGGGCCCACCAGGAGATCCAGAGTGAACGTGTGGGGAAGTGCCTCATTCTGGGACTGTTGTTTAATCCCAAACCATCTCCCCTCAATGCCATCTGGTTCTGAAAGGGCTCATCTGAGTTTCTCGAAGCATCTGAGGGGAAGGCAGACCCTGTTTTACAGATGAGGACACAGGTGAGAGGGTAAATGACCTCTGGAGAGAGATTAATAATATTAATAATATAATAGCTGTTGTTTATTGAGCTGCCAAGATTCATATGTATATACTCTCCTTGGATTTGCAGACAAGAAGAAGTTAACGATAGTTATACCCATCTGGCAGATAAAGCAAGAGAGATTCAAAGAGGGGTCAGTTGGCTCAGGATCACCTACTTGAGAAGTCCTCGCTAGAACCACGTGACTCGCCTTTGCGGCTCACGGTGTTGTGGAACTTGAAGCCGGGGTGCGCAGCGGGGAAGCCCGGGTCCCTGTACCCCGACTTCGGAGGCTGACTGAAGGTGCCCTGTCCTCCAGAGCAGAACTGCCGGGCCTCGCCCCCAGCTGCTAAACAAACTTCCTACCCACGGGCTGGACCGTGCAGGTCTGCCTCTGAGGGTTGACAGGAGGCCAGGATAAACCCCGAGGCCTCCCGCTCTGCCCGGCCAAGCCCGGCCACCTGGCTGGAGAGGCGGCACCGGGCAGGGAGCCTGTGTGTTGGTGAGCTTTGCCTGCTGACCGCCTGCTCCGCGCTGTCCTCTCCGCAGGAGTTCCTCTGCGACCAGAAGTACGGTGACGAAGAGAGCCTGCCGGAAAAGCTTGCAGCCTTTAAAGGTGAGCTAGGGCTGGCTGCCCGCCGCCCCCAGGAGAGCTGCATGGCCCCCTGCCCTCACGCATAGTGTTCCTCACCCACGGGGGCGGGTTGCACCCTAGTTTCATCCAGAACACCCCTCTTCCAGGCAGACTGTGAGACGGGGTGCCCAGCCCTGGGGACACCCCTCGCCCGCAGGCCCACCCTGGCCCTCTCTCCCCGCCGCTGCCCAGCGTGGCTCAGCTTGGCTCCTGCCTGCCTCTTGCCAGGCCCTCCCTGCTCGCTCCCGGGGCCCCAGGACACAATCGGCTCTTTGTCACCGCGCTTGCCTCCCCTCCTCCGCGGTGGAGCGTCTCGGGAGCCCCTGCGGAGAATGGACGTTTGTGTCGCCACAGTGGGGCAGGGGGCAGAGTTTCTGCCCATTGAATCCCCGGCAGCACGGGATGAAAAGAAAACAGGGCCCAGGAGCCCGCGCGGGGCGGGGGCGGCAGAAAGGTCCCTCTGTTCTGGGCCCCGGGGCTTGATTCCCAGCCAGCGACTCGAAAGGAGAGGAGCTGTGCACAGAAGGAGCCGCACAGACCCACCTTCGGTGCCCAGGAGATGCACTCTGGGTGTGGGAGCCCTGGGTGCGCTGGGGGACCACTCGAACTTGGTATTGTGGGCATCCTTATTGCTCCAGGGCAGACAGCCGGCCAGTGCTCCTCGGACCACTTACAGCTCAGCCATCCTTAAGGCGGGACACCAACCACTGAGCATGTGCTGAGCACTGACCTTGTGCTCAGGGTTGCAGATCTCCCTGCCTCAGCCCAATCCAAGCCACAAGGAGATGGTGCAGATGAAGAAACTCAGGCTCAGAGAGGTGCCATCATTTGTCTGGGGTCACAGAGCTCACTTCTGGCAGAGTTGGGGCTTGAAGCCGTATTGGTCTTACTCCAAAGCCTCTGCTCTTAACCATTACACAATTGGTGCTTTTTACATCATAAAGAAAGAAGAAAGGAAGAAGGAAAAGAACTAGAACACGGACACTCCCGCCCTGGCCGGGCCTTCTGCCCCTCCCCTCCTGGTGCCAACGTAGAGTGGCTGGTCTCTTTCCTTCTCCCTGAATACCAACAGGGTCACTCTTCAGAGGTGGCTCTGCGAGGAGGGGTAGAGTCCCAGGGGGCTAAGGTCCATGCTCCTGGTCCTCACTGGAATGTAGGATGGGGTGCATCCTGGGACCACAGGAAGGTACCTCAGAAGTGAAGGGGATGTGGAAGTTTTGAATCACTCACTCATTTTATGAGCCCTACTAGGCACCAGGCCATTTGGGAGGTGGGGGCACAAGGAACTCACAGGATGGCCTCTGGCCAAAAGAGCCGCGTCCTCTGGGGGAGGGGTGGTGAAGAGAGAGCAAGGGAGTAGAGAGTGTGTCCGATGATAGTCGTGCTTTGTGGGGGTGATGGGGTTAGAAAGGCTGGGGGCCCCTGAAAGCAAGAGGAAAGGCCCTGAGAATCCCTGGAGGGACATTCCAGGCAGAGGGGTGGCAAGGCTAGAGCAGGAGCAGGTGGGAGATAGGCCAGGCGCCGCAACAGGCTGCTGGGGGGAGCGGGGGGATGGGGGGCATCCGGGGAGAGGCAGGCCTGGAGTCTGGAGGGCAGACACTTGTGAAGGCCACGGGGCCTTGCAGGTCCCTGGGAGGACCCTGGCTTTCTCATGCTAGCTGCTTGGTGCAGAAGAGACCCCGAAGGTTCCGCCCCCTGTGGCAGGGGCGACCTGCCCAAGGCCATGGGACTTCCCTGCGCACACTGCCTTGTCAGGAGATACCAGACTCACTCCTCCGACCCCTTGATCCGGGAGGTTGAACTCCAAGTCTGTAGTGAGGTTTGCGGGGAGTGTCTGGGTGCCCCTGGGCACTATACATGCCACGTTGTGGTCAACGGCAGGTCTGTGGGCATTTGTCCCAAAAGAGCATCAGGTTCTCAGTGGTACCCATGAGCCCCCCCACAAAAGGTCAGAACTGTGGGGACTTCTTAGCCTGGAGGTTCTCACACCCAGCTGCCCATCTGAATCACCCGAGATGCTCTGAAAACCCACCAGTTCCTACCCCTAAGATCTGCTTCCCAAATTCTGCAGATCCACCTCCCCGGGGCCGGGCATTTATTTCAGTGTGTTCGCAGATGGTTGGGATGCGGCCAGCCCGCACTGCTGGGGGTCTGGGGGAAAGCAGCTGCCCATCCTGGCAGAGGGTCAGAGTGGGCCCCTGGCACCTTGCTCCACCTCGCCTGCTCTCAAAGGGTGCAGCAGGGGTGAGCCCTTTCTCCAGCGACAACAGCTGAAATGACAGGACTTGCATCGAGCCCCCCACGTGGGGTGAGGGGGCTGGTGTGGGCCCCCTGAAGACCCAGCCAGTTACCCCCCAGGGAAGTCACTGGGGCCCTGCTAACGCCAGTTTTTGCTCTGTGATTTCCAGAGAAGTACATGGAGTTTGACCTGAACAATGAGGGCGAGATTGGTGAGTGAGACCCCAGGGCGCTGGGCCAGGGGGAGGGGAGGCTGTTTGATGGGGCGGGGGTGGCAGGTCTGGGGGTCCCCCTGCCTCACAGTCTGTGGTTTCCCAGTGGACCCTCCTTCCAGCTTTTCTCCCCCTCCTCTGTCTTCTCTTGTTTTTCTCCTTTTTGAATATTTTTATCCTTTTTTCTTTAAAAATGAAATGTGAAAATGTTCATCATTCAGTCATGTACGACTCTTTGCGACCCCATGGACTGTAGCCTGCCAGGCTCCTCTGTCCATGGAATTCTCCAGACAAGAATACTGGAGTGGGTTGCCATTTCCTTCTCCAGGGGAGCTTCCCTACCCAGGGATTGAACCTGGGTTTCCTGCATTGCAGGCAGACTCTTTACCGTCTGAGCCACCCAGGAAGCCTCTTTAAAAATAGGGGTTATTAAATTAATACATCATCACCATAAAATGGTTCGGAAATCACCGCAAAGCACAGGGACAAAATACATCACCACAACCCCACCTCCCATAAATAGCTTCCTCCCATTCTTTGTTCTAATAACAAGCAGTTTTATACCGCTTTAGAACCTTTTTTAAAAAATAATATATTGTTTGTATTTTGACATATGATTCTTTTTTTGAAATATAATTAATGGCTGCGTAATATTCCATTATGGGAACAGACTATAATTTATTCGGCCAAGGCCTTAGCATCGCCCATTCAGATGATGTCTGGTTTTAAGTCTTACTGATAATCCCATGAAGGACATCTTTGTATGTGAATCTCTGTCCACACAGTTGATTACTTCTGTAGAGTAAATCTCAGGAATTAGGCATTCTGGGTTAAAGGCTTTTGAAGCATCTAGCCAAATCGCCATCCGGAAAGGTCTTGCCAGTTTAGTTTGGCAAGCATGTGGGGAACGGTTCACTCCTTCCTGTAGAGCGTTGCCCAGCTTTCATTGAAATGTCCTGGACATCCTGGCACCTCAGGGTTTGACACCAGAGGGGCCCACCCCGCCTCTCCGGGGAGCTGGTCCACCACTCCCCCGGCCCTAAAATTGGCCCCCGCCCTACCCCTACTCCGCCGGTTGCTGACCCATTGTTCATGGAACAATCTGAAGGAAATTGCCTCAGATCTTGGGAGCCAGGAGGTCAGAGGTAGCAGCTCTTCGGGGTGCCTCCCTTGTTTTTCTTGAATTTGGTTCATTTGTTGGCTTTCTTGCTCTGTGGGCTGTTCTGGGCCCCATCTCCCTTCCAGCAAGGTGGAGTCTGGGACTGTGGGATGGGAGAGGCAGGTCGGGGAGAAGCTGGCAGCCAGCACCCGGGAAAGCAATTTCTGATGCATGGGTCAGGCCAACTCCCTGATCCCATTTTGCTGGACTGTGATTTCCTGGGTGGCTGGAGCAGTGGGCTCACGGTCACCTGAACCTCGGGCAGCAGCAGAGAAAAAACAGGATGAAGAGAAGCTGTGTGCCAGGGGCGTCCAGTGCATCCTCACTCCACATGATCCCATCAACTATTTTATCACTGATGGCAGGAGGTTCACAGAGATTAAGGAGTTTGCCCCACGTCCCACAGCCAAGAATAGCAGAGCTGGATTCCAACCCAAGTCGGTCTGACTTTAGATGCCCACGTCCCTAACCCCTAGTTCCTACTGCCTCTGAAGAGGGCAGGGAGGGTATGATGAAGTCATTGCCTGCAGTCTCCAGGGAGGGGCCATCCTGCCGGGCTTCTTCTCCCGCCCAGGAGCTTCCCCACTCAGCCCCGCTGCCTGTCCCCACTTAACAGATCTGCTTCTCCTCCGGCAGATCTGATGTCTTTGAAGAGGATGATGGAGAAGCTTGGGGTCCCCAAGACCCACCTGGAGATGAAGAAGATGATCTCGGAGGTGACGGGCGGGGTCAGCGACACCATCTCCTACCGAGACTTCGTGAACATGATGCTGGGGAAACGGTCGGCAGTCCTTAAGCTGTGAGTACCTCCTGCCTCTCCTGGGGTCTCTGGAGGCAGAGTCACTGTGTGTGGAGAGGTTCCTGGCTGGGGCACCTCAGCCAGTCCCCGGCCAGGAGGTAATTCACTTCTCTGACCCACCGGGCAAGGTTCTTAACTTCGCTGAACCTGATGTCTCTCATCTATCAAATGGTCCCGTTAATAAGTACCTGGCCGGCAAAATGAGCCCATAGCAGAGCCTAGTGAAATCAGTGCTCAGTAAGTGGCAACGGGGATGGTGATGATGATGATGAGAGATGCACAGCTGAGACCTTCTCAGCCTCAGCTTCCTCGTTTGTAAAATTACTCTACTACCCCACAGATTGTTGTGAGCATAATCTAGAGCCAAAAACCAGCTCAAAAGGGAGGTAGTGTTCAATCTTGATACTATTTCTTTTTTTTTCAATTCTGCTTTTAAAAAAAATTTTTTTTTGGCTACAGTGGGTCTTTGTTGCAGCACAAGAGTCCTTTGTTGCTTCTCTAGTTGTGGCATGCAGGCTTCATCGCCCCACGGCATGTGGGCTGTTAGTTCCCCAACCGGGGATTGAACCTACATCCCCTATGCTGCAAGATAGATTCTTTTTTTTTTTTTTGCAAGATAGATTCTTAACCACTGGACCACCAGGGAAGTTCCTCTTGATGCTACTTCTTGCTGCTGAAATGACTGGGAATATTACTTTTGGTCCCTGCGCCTTGGTTCCTTCACCTATAAGACAGAGATGATCATATGTATCTTGCATGAAGTGCTGTCCTGAGGGTTAATGACATAATACATATGAGGAGTCAAGTCCAACACCTGGCTGATGGCAAGCGCCTACTGTGTGGTAACCAAAATCCCAGTTTGAACGTACTTCCCCACCGGAGAGCAGCAGAGAAATTCCTTGGAGAGTCCCAGAGTATTTGTTTGGACTGTAAAGGACACTTGCCTGGATTTTATAAGATTAATTTAAAAAAAAATTGAAACATAGTTGATTTATGATATTGTGTAAGTTTCAGGTTTATAGCAAAGTGATTCAATTATACATGTGCGTGCATGCATGCTAAGTCGCTTCAGTCATGTCGCTTTGCAACCCCCTGGACTGTAGCCCACCAGGCTCCTCTGTCCATGGAATTCTCCAGGCAAGAACAATGGAGTGGGTTGCTGTGCCCTCCTCCAGGGGATATTCCTGACCCAAGGATTGAACCCACATCTCTTGGGTCTGCTGCATTGGCAGGCAGGTTCTTTACCACTAATGCCATCTTGGAAGCCCAGTTATACATATGTATATGTTTTTTTCAGATTCTTTTCCATTAGGGGTTATTATGAGATATTAAAAGATGCTTCCTCCTTGGAAGGAAAGTTATGACCAACCTAGACAGCATATTAAAAAGCAGAGACATTACTTTGTCAACAAAGGTCCGTCTAGTCAAGGCTATAGTTTTTCCAGTAGTCATGTATGGATGTGAGTTGGACGGTGAAGAAAGCTGAGCGCCGAAGAATTGATGCTTTTGAACTATGGTGTTGAAGACTCTTGAGAGTCCCTTGGACTGCAAGAAGATCCAACCAGTCCATCCTAAAGGAGATCAGTCCTGGGTATTCACTGGAAGGACTGATGTTGAAGCTGAAACTCCAATACTTTGGCCACCTCATGCGAAGTGTTGACTCATTTGAAAAGACCCTGATGCTGGGAGGGATTGGGGGCAGGAGGAGAAGGGGACAACAGAAGATGAGATGGCTGGATGGCATCATCGACTCGATGTATTCGATAAGTTTGGGTAGACTCTGGGAGTTGGTGATGGACAGGGAGGCCTGGAGTGCTGTGATTCATGGGGTTGCAAAGAGTTAGACATGACTGAGCGACTGAACTAACTAACTAATGAGGCTGGTTAGAGCATTTAGTGTGGGACAGGATGATCAGGAGGTGTAGTAGGAAGACCATACAGGTAAGATCACACTGCACCTGAAAGGCTAGGTGGTAGCAATAGGAGTGTTGATGCTATTAAAATGACACCTAAGATTCAGTGGATATTTACTCTGTATTGGGCAAACATGCCCCAGTCTGCATGTTGACTCCTTAGATTTGTCATTTATGAATTCAACAAATATTTATTGAGCACCACCTCTGTGCCAGGAATTATGCTTGGTGCTGCTGGGGAGTCATGAATTGCTTACATTCTAATGAAGGAAACAGACAAAAACAAAACAAAATCCCCAAACACCAGGCTGCAATAGTGCAGCACACAGAAAAATAAAGTGGGCAAGAGGAATAGAAAGAGGTGGGGGTAGTGGGCAGGGAGGATCTCATTGAGAAGGTGGCGTTTGACCAGAGCCCTGAGTGAGGGAGATGTGAAGAGATGAGCCACGTAAACATAGAGGAAAGCATTCCAGGTGGGGGAAGCTGCACGTGCAAAGGCCCTGTGGCAGAACCTGGTTTTATGCTCAAGGAAAAGCACAGAGGCCCATGTGCCTGGAGGACACTGAGTGAAGGATGAGTCTGCAGAGGTGGGCAGGGGCCAGGTGATGTGGGGCCTTGTAGTCCATGGTTGATTTAGCATTATTTGTTTATTTTTGGCTGTGCTGGGTCTTCATTGCTGCGCGTGGGCTTTCTCTAGCTGCAGCGAGCGGGGGCTACTCTTCGTTGCAGTGTGTGGGCTTCCCATTGCAGTGGCTTCTCTTGTTGCAGAGCACGGGCTCTAGGCGCATGGGCTTTAGTAGTTGCAGCTCTTGGGCTCTAGAGCACGGGCTCAGTAATCGTGGAGCCCAGGCTTAGTAGTCCTGCTGCAGGTGGAATCTTCCCAGACCAGGGAATGAACTTGTGTCCCCTGCATTTGCAGGCAGATTCTCATCCACTGCACCATTAGGGAAGTCCCAAGGAGCTGATTTTAAAAGGCCTGCCCCGACTGCAATGGAGGAAGAGTGGCAGCAGGCAGGTCATTAGGAGGCTCAAGCACTTGTGCAAGTAAGAAATGAGGTGCTCAGCCTGGAGGGGCTGAAGTGGAGGAGGGCAGGGGCTGTTGGAGTCGGGAGTGATCTTGGAGGTAGAGCTGGCAGGGTTGCTTCCAAGTTTAAAGGAAAACAAGGAGTCTGGTGGTTGTAAGGTCTGGGTTCTGAGTTGACTCAGTGATGAGTGATGGTGCAGTTTGCTTTGAGAGAAGAGCAAGGGGCAGGAGAGAGTTGAGCTCAGTTTTGATGTATTGCATTGGAAGTACCCCTAGACACACAAGGGGAGAGGTTGAGGAGGAAGCTGACTGTGCAGGTCTGGTGCTCAGACAGAGGCCCTTTGTGGATGATCGAACTTTGGATGGGATTCAAAGCCAGGGGGCTGAAGCAACCTACCCAGGGAGGGAGTCCAGAGGGAGGAGGGCACTGTCAGTTGGAACAGCTCCAGGATGTAAGTGCATTTGGCATCATCACATTTACTTGGAAACACTGAGCATCCATGGGTTGAGTGTCTTGCTGGTGGCCGTGGGTTGAGTGTCTTGCTGGTGGCACCAGTTGGGAAGGAATAGGGCTGGGATTCCCTCCTGAGGCTATACCTTGAACCCCCACCCTCTGCTCCCCAGACTTCACTGTCAGAGCAGTGGGAGGTTTTTGAAGATCTGAAGGGGTTTTGAGCAGAACCACAGCACAGACTAGCCCTGCCTCCTCCAGGCAGCGTGGTCGGGGGAGGTACATGACCCAGAAGTCTGAGATCTGGAATCTCATCCTGCTTGTGTGGCTCTGAGTCACATTGCCCCTTGGCACCTCAGTATTCTCCTCTGTAAAATGGGACTATCTGCCCGCAGAGGCTTCTGGGAAAATCCCCCTGGAGAGAGGATGCAAAGGCATTCTGTGGTGGACCCTGCAGATGTGAGGGCCGGGATGATCTTTCCCTGGACGAGGAAAAGAGTCCTAATCCTGTTTTGTGTTGTTTTTCTTTTTTTTTTTCCTCACCACTTCCCAAACCAGAGTCATGATGTTTGAAGGAAAAGCCAACGAGGGCAGCCCCAAGCCAGTCGGGCCCCCTCCAGAGAGAGACATCGCCAGCCTGCCCTGAGGACCCCTGCCTGGACCTGCCCCGCCCTCCCCACTCTCTTCCTTCCTCCTGATTTTCTCGTCCTTCGTGACTCATTGTGACCTCTTATTCGTTTTGTTTGGTCGTTGTGCGTTTGTTTCTCATCAGCAGAATCAGTGATCTCTTTGTATAGCACAAATGATCTGCCTTAAAGGGGCCCTGGGTTGGGGAGTCCAAATCGCCTCCCTCTTTTTCCCTGCATCTCCCCTCCCTGTGCAGAAGGGCTGACATTAAACCAAAAACCAGAGGGGACAGGGCCAGGCCAGGGAGACCAGAGCCTGTGATTCCCACACTTGAAACTGGCACTCTTTGTCCTTCCAGGTCTCTTGAGCTAAGTCCTGACATCCTGGCCTGGCCCTGGTGAAGACCTCAGCCCACTTTCAGAAGACCCAGGAGTTGGGATAAGGCTGCAAGGCCTCGTTAGGGTTTCCTCAGACAGCTCTGTGATTCCAGGGCTCTTGGGTGTGCTAGGATGTGGCCACACAGTGTCCCACCTCCCCGGCTGATCTCCCCCAGTCCACGCTTTGTCTTATTCTCAGTGAGATGACAGAAGGAGACGAGGAGAGGGGCTTGGCAATGTGAGCCCTTCCAGAAGGATCCAGAGGAATCCTCTATTCTTGCCCCCTGGCCACACCTTTACAGGCAGCTCAGAAGGAGGCTGCAGCACCCCCTGACCCTTGCTGAGGCTTCAGAGGTAGAGGGGATCCTGGGGCCTTGGGGAGGGCTTCAGCTCAGTCTAGGCCCACCTTTCAGGGAGGATGCTGAGGGCAATAGGGTAGGAGGGTGAGGACTTCAATGCTCATGGCAAAGAGAGGCAGCACACCACTCTTAGGCCAGGAACTGAGAAATAGGTTGCCTAATCTGCTTGAAACCTGACTCTGCTTCCCCATTTGCCTTCACACCTTCCTTACACCATTCATTCCTTCTTCATTCATTCACTCAGCCACTCAACAGATATTTATTGACAACCTGTTACAAGCTTTAAGCCCCCACCCCCACCCCACTTTCTTCTGACATGTGCTGTGCCCACTGTCTCTCTGATCCATCGCTCTGTTTCCACACCACTCAAAACCTTGAGCCTGGGAATTGGATCAGGGTCACCTGTGTTTTTTATTATGGACTAGAGTTTTAGAGCCCTGAGCCATCCTGTGGGTTAGCTGGGGCAGGCCTCTCAGTTCACAGGTGACAAAACTGTGGTGACCCACAGGGATTAAGTGCCTTGTCCAAGGTCAGGGGTTTATTTGGAGATGGGGGATCTGGACTGGGGCCTGGGCGTTCAGATACCCCCTGCCCCTGCCTCGTCTCTGCTCTGGGCTGGTCTCAGTCAGTGATGAAAACAAAGGAAGGGACAGGGAGGGACAGTCTCCTAGGTCAACCCTTGGGGAGGGCCCTGGGCCAGGATTCACCCTTCCTAGTGCCTCTGAGGCAGGATCAGCAGGACCCCCAGCCTTGACCCCACCTGTATTCTGTAGTCCCTTCCCCTGCCCACTCAGGACTTAGATGCACTCATCCATTGCACATGTTTATAAGCACCTGTTATGGGCCATTACTGAAAAGAACAGACTCATGGAATTTAGAGTCTAATGGGGAATTCAGACCCCCGTGATGAATGTTGGGAAAAAGGAAGCTATGAGGTGACTACATTGCAATCCTAGACGCCTAACTGGGCCCAAGACTGGGCAAGAGTCCTGCAGAAGCCTTTGAAAAACCTTACATGGGAAGGTCTGGGGGCTGTTGGAGGCTGGAGCCAGTGTGAGCTCCCCGTGGCTCCTTTGACCCATAACCAAGGACCCAAGGAGCTGACTGGAGGCAGTTTTTGAGGAAGTGGAACGGGTAGAGAGTGGGGAAATGGCCAGGTTGGATTAATCCACTGGTCTCGACCAGTTCAGGAACAAGATTATTCGGCCATGACTGGCTGATCTTCAGTCTAAGGAGGTACTTCAAATGCATACGCCTAGTTGAAGTTTAAACCCCAGCAAAACATTCCTCCCTGTAAATGTAAAATCTCACCCCCACATCTCCTCCCCTGCTCCCCCCCACCCCCGAGATCCTTAGCTGAGCAAGTGTCTGTCTCCACCCCTTCCCACTGCCTCTCCTTTCTGGGACAGGCTGAGACGTTTCAGCAAGGAAATGCTTTCCTTGACCATTCATCACAGTGTATCTGTACCTCAGTCAGACAGAAGGGCAGAAGATCTAGGCTTATTGCAGTGGTTACACACTTTACAAGATTGCAGGAAGCCTCTTTGAAGGAGGAGAGCAAGTGGGCGTGTCCTCAGCTTTTTGAAAGGGCAGGAAAGTGTTCTCTCATTGGATGGGGAGTGTCCTGGGAAACCCCACCAGTTCCTTCATCATTTCTTGGAATTCAGCTCCTGAAGGGAGAGGGTCTCAAGAGTGGTTCCGGGAAAGGGAGGTCTGCATGTATTTCAGGCTGTGGTTATTAGCTATAGGACTCTTACTTCTTTGGCTAAGGGCTCAGCTTCTTAGATGTTCAGCTGCCTTCTTTCTGAAAGACCAAATCTAACTAATGTAACCAGCAACTTGGGGACTGCCACGTATGGCTTTGTCCCTGCCATTCAAAAGGAAGGAGTGTGTCGGGCAAGTTCAGGTGGATGCAGTACGTGTGTGTGTGCATGTGAGTGTGTGTGATGCTGGATATCATCTCTACAGACTGGAAATAAAACAGACAAACTTACCAATGTCTTGACTGGTGTATTCTGGGGATGGTTTTGACACTCGGGAAATTCAGAAGAGCTAGCTCATACAGTGACAGAGTGAATGAATGTATCTGTGTACCAGGCTGTTAGACATTGGACTTCCTTTACTGCACACAGCAACCCCACGAGTAAGGTTCTACTGTATCAGCCTTCCTTGAAAAAATGAGAAGCAGGCTTGGAGGAGGTAAGCAGTTTGCTGAAAACCAAATAGTAAACGGCAGAATATGCCCCCCTGGAGCTGACCCATGTGATCCAAATTAAGAATCTGTGTCCTAGAGCATCTATAATATTCCACTACAAAAATCTCTCTGTTGGACTGTGTAATAGTTGGCAATCAGCATATCCAGACATGCTGAATTCTAATCAGGCTTTCACCACTTGTTAACTGAGGGGAACCGGGGAATCTTCTTGACTTCTCTGTGCTTCTAGTTGCCTCATCAATTAAATGGCAATGATAATCCCTAGGTGACTAGAACGTCTTAAAGATTCAATTACACATGGCTCAGCTGGTAAAGAGACCGCCCGCAATGCAGAAGACCTGGGTTCAATCCCTGGGTTGGGAAGATCCCCTGGAGAAGGGAAGGGCCACCCACTGCAGTATTCTGGCCTGGAGAATTCCATGGACCGTACAGTCCATGGGTTCGCAAAGAGTCAGACACGACTGAGAGACTTTCACTTTCACTGGCTCTTGCTCCAGAAATGACTACCTTGAAAGGAGTAAACAAAGCTGTTTACTTTGGAGTAAAGGGCCCTTTAATCTCCCCTTTCAGCCTTCAGAAACACTAGGGGCGAGGCCCCGTCCCATCAACTTTCTGAACATCTTTTCCTTCCACACCCCGTCCAAGGCCTTTCTCAGGAGCTGCCCCTTGGAAATATCTGTCGGGTTCCTAACATCTTTGAAATCGGAACTATTAACAACCACCTACATCCAAAGATTACTGTGAAGCCTCAACGAAAACGAGTGTGGACATCTCGCGCTTGCACTACCGACTAAAGGAAACCCAGACGAGCCGAGTCCACGCCACCTGCAGACTACAGCGGCGGCACCCGGGAGCAGCCGGGCGCAGGCGCAGTGACTGCCAGGCCACGCCCCCTACCCTTCCGGCCACGCCCCCTACTCTTCCGAGCCGGCCAATGGGAGGCGGTGGTCAGGAGGCGGCCGCGCGACTTCAGAGGGTCCTCTCAGCCTTCCTCAGCCACGCCGCGGACCGAAAGGCGTGCCGTCACCAAAAGCGCGCCGGAAGTGCGAGTTGTGCAGCTCGTCGCAAGCTCTGAGGGGAGGAAGTTGGCCTCGGAAAGACCTGGGCTGTGTGGGCCAGGCCGCGGGCGGCAGCGGTAGTGGCTCCTTTCACAACTGAGGGCCGCGCGATGGGAGACGAAATGGATGCCGTGATCCCTGAGCGGGAGATGAAGGTCAGGCGTGGTCCAGGGCCTCCCACCCTTTCTTAATCCTGGTATTTCCTTGGCGCCTCCCTGACCCGGGAAGCGCCGGGTGTCCGCTACCCCGTCTCCTGAGTGAACGGTGTGAGGAGATGCAAATTCTCGTTACCGCGTCCTGGAGCGCTCTGCCATGCAGCCGGCGTGAAAGCCCCATGGAATGTACTTTCCGCGTTCCCTGTTGGTCTTGTGCGAGCCTCCTGAGTTATCGTAGTTACTTCAATGTGGTCGTCGGAGTATGGGAATAACTGTTGTTTATTGAGCGTTTACTTGCATACCAGGCACTGGTAACTTATCACAGCGACCCTAGGAAGTACTTGTTAATGCAAAGGAGCAAATAGAGGCTCGGAAAGTAACTTACCCAAAGCCGCCTTTGACAGGCGGACTGAAATCTAGGTGGTTGTGAGCAGTTTTAAATATTCTCTCTCCTCTGTCGCTGAACTAGTTCAAGCCTGTAACCCAGGCTTGCCTAGCGTAGAGCAGGGATCACCCCTTATCCTACAGGAGTTTTTGTTGTGTTTTTGTTGTGTTTAGTCGTTTATGACTCCTTGGGACCCCATGGACTGTAGCCCCCCGGGATTCCCCTGTCCATGGGATTTCTCAGCCAAGAATACTGGAGTGGGTTGCCAAGCCCTCCTCCAAGGGATCTTCCTGACTCACGAATTGAACCCATGTTTGCCGCCTTGAAGGCAGATTCTTTACTGTCTGAGCTACCAGGGAAGCCCACAAGTCCTTTAATTAACTAGAACTGGAGACCGTTCTTGGTACTGGAAATCCTCTTCAAGTCAGGAAACGAGAGGACGAGATGATCCAAATCTCAGCTCAGTTCAG